GCATGACGAATGTTGAACCACATGAAGTATGGCACACAGCATGAAGAATGTTGAACCACATGAAGTATGGCTCACAGCTTGAAGAATGTTGAACCACATGAAGTATGGCACACAACATGAAGAATGTTGAACCACATGAAGTATGGCACACATGAAAAATGTTGAACCACATGAAGTATGGCACACAGCAATGAGCATGAAGAATGTTGAACCACATGAAGTATGGCACACATGAAGAATGTTGAACCACATGAAGTATGGCACACATCATGAAGAATGTTGAACCACATGAAGTATGGCACACAGCATGACGAATGTTGAACCACATGAAGTATGGCACACAGCATGAAGAATGTTGAACCACAAGACATATGGCACACATAAAGAATGTTAAATCACATGAAGTATGGCACACAGCATGACGAATGTTGAACCACATGACGTATGGCACACAGCATGAAGAATGTTGAACCACATGAAGTATGGCACACATGAAAAATGTTGAACCACATGACGTATGGCACACAGCATGACGAATGTTGAACCACATGAAGTATGGCACACAGCATGAAGAATGTTGAACCACAAGACATATGGCACACATAAAGAATGTTAAATCACATGAAGTATGGCACACAGCATGACAAATGTTGAACCACATGACGTATGGCACACAGCATGAAGAATGTTGAACCACATGAAGTATGACATATATCAATAAGAATGTTAAACCACATAAAGTATGGCACACAGCATGAAGAATGTTGAACCACATGACGTATGGCACACATAAAGAATGTTGAACCAAATGAAGTATATTACACGATCACATGAAATAAAAACACTTGTTATATTCATAGAAGAAAACACTCACTTGCTGATTTTCTTCATCGTCATCACTGCTCAAATCATCATCTTGATCATCACTGTCATCCAATACATCATCGCCTGAAATGAAATGCTTATTTTCAGTCTTTTCCAATCACTTGCTGTACAGCTAATATTTTATACATGACTTAGCCCCCCCCCCCCACCAAAGATATTGCTTCTCGTTCTAGAAAAAAACTGAAAAATGATGCAGTAATGTAGTTTTAATTTTTTTTTGTATTAAGAATATTTAATACAATAAAAACAAGATTTATTTTATTTACTAATGCTTTTGAAAACGTGTAATAAAGGATGATTTGGGGTAACATCCTCTAAAAAAGAAAACAGAACATTTCTTTATCCTTCTATATGTGGTGCACTTTATCGTAAGCAAAATTGCAAAAACAAATGTGTGAGGTGAAATGGATCAGTGTGCCCTTCAACAGGACTGATAATGTAGGTATCCAGAGCCAAATTGGAACCCCCTAAAAAAGTTTGTTTGGGAAGATAGAAAATAAAATTGTATATGACTATGGAGGTGGCCCTGATGTGGCTGCTGACTTCCTTTGTTTTTATAATCATTTGTAAAATGTGAATTTTGTTTTACCAAAACTACAAATTTTGTTATTATAAGATATTTTTCAAGATCACTATAGAAGTGTACAATTTCCAAGCGAGTCAATGACATGCCAGTAAATTAGTCTAACATCAAGCCTATGAGCGTCAGTGGTGCATCATATTGACATAGAGGGCAGTCTACAAGTCACAAATCTCTGACATTACAATTCCTACCTTGTGCATCCATTGGTATTTGTAGATACTCGGCTGCAGCTTCAGGGAGTTGATATGCTATAGAGCTTTTAATGCTATGTACAGGCAGACGATTCTTTGGGAAACATTTTCTCAATATTAAACTAATTATAGTGACTAAGGTTTCTAGTTCTCGCACTGGAAGAAAGAAAGACAAGTTCTGGCTTAATACTAGGTAAATCTTTCATTCAGTTTATGCTTTCTGCAATGTCTTCTGCAATATTCCACCGGGCCATCCAGTTTATAACAAGCCACATAATTAAGTAGGAGTAAATTTCTTACAGAGGTGCAAAATAATTAAATGACTAACAAGCAATGCTTCACTCTATGGAATGTGACAACATGATTTTAAATAAGCTGTACATTTAAACTTTGATAAGCAATTATACTAATAACACAAAAGTAAATCTATTTGCAATAAGTAACCTGTAGAATGCTGTGTGGATTTTTTTTGCATTTGCAGCAAATAGTTACCAAACAATGAGAAATCTATAGGATTGGATATACCTCTCAGCTGGCTTCATATGCATAGTTCAAGCCTGCCTAACTGGTGCTTATACCAGGATATAGTTACAGCATCTAGACAGTCTGTGGTTACAGCTTCATGTTCCGAAGAAATTGACATTACAATAGAAAATAAAAGACTCGCACTCCCATGCAATTAATAGCAAGTGAAATTCCTGGGATTGAAACATTGACTTTGAAGTCACTGGTGTAGACAATGAATAACTTCAAGTTGGCATAAAGACGAGGTAGTTTATTTAATCAGTGCTGAACTAGAGGCTGAAATTATAATTACGCTTGTTGTCATATAATCAGCATTCCCACCAAGTTTTTAAAGTGGGGGTTTCTATACCCTCTCATTTATAAAATAAGGGTACACAGAAACAAGCAAGGGTTAATTATGGACTGCATTTGGTAAATTTACTTTATTATTCCGAATGATTTTTAAAATTGAGGGGTTTTCTGCACCCTTTCATATGTAATATGAGGGTGCAAAATCAAAGTTGCAGGTAAAATACCCTCTGCAGGAGGTAAATGGGAACACTGATTAATTTATTTGTCATATAATTTATGTTGCTTGTTTTTGAGCGGAGCGGCAACCAGCCTACTGGCTTGTTTCCATTGGAAACCGAACTATTTTTATTTGTAAACAAATTTTCGTCTGCTATTTTATCCGG